TCTGTCTCCTAAGTGCCCTGGAGACTTCCAGGACCCGCCCACTCTTGGCTCTGTGATGACCCCGCTTGAGTTAGACAGCTGTTCCCCTCCTCCTCCTCCTCGCCTGATGTCCTGAGTTCCAGTCCCAGAGACGAAGAAAGGGACGGACGAGTCTCAAAACGAGTTTGGACGTTTGTGTATTGCCGACCCAGAGCATCCGTGAGCTGAAGGAGTTTGGCCCTGGGTCACTTCGGTGGCATGGTCGAGGCGTGAATGCTGGCCGGCCTGCCTCTTACCAGCCTGGGGCGCTTGCTTGGTCCATTGATTCCACCTCTGCCTGCCTCGGATTGCTCACCTGTACCAGAAGGACGCTGCCTGTCCCCGTAGGATTGTCCGAACACGTAAAAGAGGCAGATGCGTGCCCAGCTTCGCCCAGTGTCTGCACGAGAGGCGTCTGGGGCTGCCATGCTTTTTAGGACGACTCCTGGGGACATCCAGTCTCACGGTCTCCGCCCGCCATGATAGAGTGCCATCCCAGCAGAGGCTCTCCCAGGCCCCCCAGTGAAACCCCGGCCAGTGAGTGCCATTCAGGGCAGGAACACCCCCTCCCCAGACAGAGTCTGTCCAGCTCAGGGGCCCTGCCCCAGCCCTAGCATGCGTGTTGTAGAAAGGCGCAGGGGAGGCGTGAGCCAGAACCGACCCCTGGAGCATGCTGGACCAGCCCACACCCGGCTGCTCTCTGTTCTTCTCATTGGCTACCACCTGCCCAGCACTGCAGAGCAGGGAGGAGGGGGCAGGGACGTGACCTGTGGCTCCTGTGTGTGCTCACCGAGACGAAATCCCACCTCCAGAAGCAAGCACACCAGCCGACCCTGTTCGGCCAATTTATGTAATCGCACATTCAATCGCCAGGTATTTATTGACCGATCACGACCTGCACGGCTCCCGCTCAGCGCTGTGGGGGTGACCCGGTCGCGGCAGAGCCCTCCCCGGGTGCTGCCCCATTTCCCCTGTGCCCAATGAGCAGCTCGGAGATTCGAGTCTGCAGGCAGATTGACAGCGGGACAAAGTGAGGGGTGGCAGTCATTCTGTGCGCTTGGAGACAGAGATATGCCTTCTACACAGAACACCTGGCCTCACCCCAAGTGGCCCCCCGCGCAGCCCAAAAAGCCGGTATCGCCACCCCAACTTCATATCCCGGGTCTCAGGCCACTGCGGGGGGTGGGGCAGAGCTGGGTCCCCCCTCGACACCTAACCCTCCAACCTCCCCACATACCTCACCGTAGCCACCCCACCTTCTGAGGAAGAGGGAGGTTTCTTGGGTTCTTTTTTTCTTTTTCAATTAATCATTCGCATAGATTTTAATTTTTAGAGCCGTTTTAGGCTTAGGGAAAGATTGGGCATAGAGTACAGCGTTCCCCCTTAGCCCACAGTATCCCAAATCAACAGTGTCCCGTGTTCACGCCCTACGTGTGTTCCAAATGAGAACTGATGTTGACTCATTGTCATTAACTGACCGACGTCCAGAGCTGGGGTTCCAGTGTGGTACATTGTGTGGGTTCAGACAAACGCATGACATCATGCGCCCACCATTACAGTATTATACCTCATTTTTATTCTCAGGGGTGAGGACAAAAAAGCTTTCGAGTATAGAAAGAGAGAAGTCTGTAGAATGTTGCCACAGATTCCCTGTTTAGGTTAGGTCCAGAAAATCAGTGTCAAGACAGCTTTGATAAGAACCAGGAATTTTGAGGGGCGCCTCGGTGGCTCAGTCCGTTGAGCGTCCGACTTCGGCTCAGGTTGTGATCTCATCGCTTGTGGGTTCGAGCCCCGCGTCGGCCTCTGTGCTGACAGATCAGAGCCTGGAGCCCGCTTCGGATTCTGTGTCTCCCTCTCTCTCTGCCCCTCTCCTGCTCATGCTCTGTCTCCCTCTGTCTCTCAAAATAAATAAACATTAACAAAAAAAAAAAGAGAGAGAGAGAGAGAGAGAACCAGGAATTTGGTGACAGTGCACAGACAAGTCCCTGCCTTCATGCAGCTGAGGGCCCAACGGTGGGGTCGTCACCACGTCCACAGCTCGCTTGGCCCGCTGGCGAGAGCGCCCTGAGGGCAGGCGGGCCTGTGTCTTCCTTATGCATCTGCCCGGTGCCTGGCACAGCCCGCCGGGCAGGGAGGGCGGTGGACTGCACGTCGTTTGCTCGGCCGGGGTTTCCTTGATTCCTGTGCCCGTTAGCGAAGTGGGCGTAAATGCTGTGTTCGGATTCATCACGTTTAGTGCTAACTGTGTATTTTCTTCTAGTCGTTGCCATCTGGACACATACAAGGAACTTTTGAACTGGCCAATAAAGAAGAAAATAGAGAAAAAAACAGATATCCCAACATCCTTCCCAGTAAGACTTTACTTTTTCTGCATGATTGGTAGCGTGTGGAGTAAACTCAACGTTCCTCTGTAGCTCCTGGGGACTGTGCCTGCCCGGGCAGTATAACAGTCCCGGGACTCGGGGACGAGGGCCCGGCCCAGCACCACTGCTTGGCGCTTGTCCAGGGAGGTCTAGGTGGCCGTCTCCCACAGCGGGCTCAGGCCACCTCTGTTGTCGTGGGTCTGCCCAGGGGCCCAGGGGAGTGCCCCCCACACGGGCTGGCGGGGGCCCGCTCCTGGGCCCAGTCCTGAGCCACAGTCTTGTGCTGACAGTGGCCCTGGGCATCTCCGCATCTCAGACTCAGTGCTCTCGGCCACCAGCCGTGGGTCTCCCAGACCAGGGGCAGAAATGACAGAATGAGAAATGTGCAGAGATTTGGCAGCTTTGTGGGAGGGCTTGGCAACGCCAGCAGCTAAACGGGGCCATGGGCTGCGGGGTGTGGGGTCCAGGGAGGCCGTTGGGCCAGATAGCTGACAGATCTGTCCAGGGAAGTGGCTGGACAGGCTTCGCCCCGGGGGTGCCTTTCACAGCCCACCTTGGTGCCAGGACAAACCTGAATGTTCCAAGCTGTCAGCTGGCCAAGGAGGGTTGCAGTATTTTTCGTTCAGCTGGACCCCTCTTGTGGGCTTTGCCCATCAGGCTAACAGAAAGGCAGCCGGGAAGGGTTTAAATCCGGAGCCCCAGGCCAGAGAATCTCCCTGTTCTCAGACAGAGCCTCCGTGGAAGCAAGGGAGCCAGCCTGTGCAGTGGGCCTCAGTCCACTTGGTTGCATTTTTAGGATTGGAATTAAGTCCGTCTCTTCAGAGGCACGACAAGCTGTGGTCCGCCCAATTTGTGTGGTCTCTGGACTCTTAGCACTTAATAGAAATAATTCTTTTGCACTTTACAAGCATAGGACTGACACCTCTTTTTTTTTTTTTTGTTTTTTTTCCAAAGGCCCCTATAAGACTATGATCCAACTACGATGAGAAATTAACCAAATAGTCTTTCGGCTAAAACATATTTGCGTAGGCAGCCAAGGGAGCCGCAAGGAGATGGGACACGAAGCTGTGCAGTGAGGAGGGGCTTGGGCCAGGGTTAGACTCCGGACACGCAGTGGGGGTCCAATCGGGAGGGCTTGCCGCTGGATCAGAGAAGGAGGGAGGCAAGCCGCTTGGTTGGAGCAGCTCCAGGGAAAGGAGAACCGTGGGGGGAGGCTTGGGATCTTTGGAATATTTTGTGTCAAGTAAAAATCGGGATATTTGCAAATTAGTATTATTATCTACTATTAGTTTGACTAATTAGCTTCGTTAATTAATTTAATTTATGCATTGACTTCCTGAATGTATCTGTTGAGGACCTACCTACCCAGCCCCAGCACTTTTCTAGGGTCCTGCCCCCATTTGCCTCTTACTCACTAAAACCCTTATTTAAAATTCTTTGAAAGTTAGTTTATTTATTTTAAGAGAGAGAGAGAGAGAACGAGAGAGAGCGAGAGAGTGCTCATGAGTGAGCGGGGGAGGGGCAGAGAGAAAGAGAGAGAAAGAATCCCAAGCAGACAGTACAGAGCCTGATGTGGGGCTCAGTCTCACAAACTGTGAGATCATGACCTGAGCTGAAATCAAGAGTCTGCCGGTTAACCGACTGAGCCACTCAGGCACCCCTAAATTTACTAGATTTTTAAGAAACCCCTCGACCCAGGCATGGAAATGGCTCTAGGGAGCTTGGATGACAGAGAACAAGATGCCTGGCGTGTCCATGAGGCTGGGCTTCGGAAAAGCTTGGTGACTGGTAGGGAGACAGCATCCTCTACTCTGGAAAAAAAAAAAAACAGCAACAGCCAGTAATTTCAAAATATAATGTTTTGAGAGCGAAGTGTGACTTTCAGAATAAAAAGACAGGAAGCTCTCCGAAACTGCAAGGTTCTAAATCTAACCAGAAGGCTATTTTCTGCCCTCGGCTTTCTATAGCTGTTCTCAAAGCGTAAACGGTTCCAAATTATTTTCAACTGTCTTTACACATGCTCAGCCGGAGCCGTATCTGCTTTAGGGCTGTCAGCCCCTGAGCAGGAGGGTGTCGTAGAGGAGGCCATCGGGCTGTACGTTTGGGGTTTGACACCCTGGCTGCCCCATACGAGCCATGACTTTCCCTGAAAGCCTCAGTGGCCTCTGCTGCTGGGGGCAGGATAGATCGGGCCCAGCGATACTGTGTCTAGTCAACAGGTGTCTGAGGTCAGCAGCACCTTCCAAGAATGCGGAAGACAACAGCTCCTTTGCCGCAGACCCACCCCGCAAACACACACGTCTCAGTTAGTTTCAGACCTGTGGGGACAAGCAGGGGGTAAAGCAGGACAAAGCAGGACGATAGAATGCGGTAAATACATACGGAGTGCTCACTCTGTCCCAAGCCCCGTGCCCGGGGTGGTGTGAACCACCCCGGGAGCAGCTTTGACTCTTGACCCTGGCCCTGGGCCCGGTCTGGCCATCCATCCATCCTCAGTATTTCCGATAGCTGTTGTGCAGCTGGAAGTAGGAGACCCAGGCCCGGGGCCATGACACTTTGAAGGGCCCATGACACCGTCTGATTTCCTTTAAAATCAGAAAAACAAAAACAACACCATAATCCAGTCTGGTTACGGTAAGCTTTATACTAACTAATAACACAGTTGTAAAATAAAGTGTTTACTTTTTTCTTTTATGGAGGAAGGGGCCCATGAAGGCAGGAGTGACAAGGACCCACCAAGGTCACAGTGGGGGCCCTGGTTGAAACTTCCCCAAATGTGCGCACACACACACACACACACACACACACACTCCACAAACACATACACGCCAGACCCACGCACACAGAGAAGACACACACCGCACCCCCACCTACCACACACACCTGCACACCACCCGCCCCCACATGGAGGAAGCACACGTCACACACCCACACAGAGCTCTCTGTGGTCAGCCCCCTCGCTAGAGAGTTGCTTGTACAGCAGGCCAGAATCTTCCAGGCAGGTGGCCCGCCAGGCCCAGCTCAGGTCAGCGTGAGTTCCGCCCACCTTCCAGCCCTAGGGCCGACTGGAAGGATGGGGATCGGGGTGTGGAGTCAGCTTGTCCCTTCCCTGGAAAGCCCGGGAGCGTGGACCCCAGCCCTTCCGTCCGGGGCTCTCCTCAGTGTGCAAGGGCCTTGTTAGGATGGGGGCCCAGCTGGGGTTTCGGAGAATATGGTGATCTCACTGCGGGGCCCCAGCACGTGCTGCTGTTCTGTTTCTATGTGAGGCCCAGCAGCCCCCACTCCTGGACGCTGAAATTCATGCCTCTGCTGTCAGCCCACAGGTCTTACCGGACACCTGGTTAGGGCCGGGCACTGTCCTCAGTGCTGAGGTGCAGTGCTCATTCAGTGAAACAGGTGTATTCCCATCCTCATGACACAGAGGGTCTCATGAGGACATTGAAAAGGACGCGTCCTCTGTCCCGGTGATCGCCACGCAAGACCCGGTCGTGTCAGGTGCCGTGTTTAATGCTGTAGATGGAAGAAACGTATGGCAGGTGTGATTTCCTTATCCTGATGTCATGGTTTTTTTGTTTTCTTCTAAACAGATGATCATTCCAGGGTGATTCTGAGCCAAGTGGACGGAGCCCCCTGTTCAGACTATATTAATGCCTCGTACATAGATGTAAGTCTGCTGTTTTCGCGTCCCCGGCCCGGCCTGATGCACACACCTGCACCATTTGGGGACTCAGCGTGAATCGTGACTTTCCTCTCTGGGGCCGGGTCACAACCTTCCTGGGCAGCTTGGCCACAGCACAGAGAGCACAGAGTCGCCCGGGGCTTTTGAATTAGCATCTGTCCGGGGATTCATTTTCAAGAAACAGATAAGCACAAAGATGTTTGTTACAGCATTCGTTCCATTACTGACCAAATAGGACAAGAGGGATCAGTTAAACAAACTATGGTAAAACCATAATGCAATGGATTAAGAATTCACTTTAATTGGGGCGCCCGGGCGGCTCAGTCGGTTGAGCACCCGAATTCGGCTCCAGTCATGATGTAACAGTTCGTGAGTTCGAGCCCCGCGTCCAGCTCTGTGCTGACAGCTCAGAGCCTGGAGGCTGCTTCAGATTCTGTGTCTCTCTCTTCTCTCTGCCCCTCCCCAGGTCACAGTCTATCTCTCTCCCTCTCTCTGTCTCTCTGTCTCTCTCTCTCTCAAAAATAAACATAAAAAAGATTTAAGCGTTCACCTTAAGTGAACCTTAAAATATCGGTTAATATAAATTATAAAATTATCTTAAAATACAACATAGGAGAATTTGTACTTACCAGTTAAAAGTATCTGAACGTGTGTCTGCTTGTGTGTGTGCGTGTGCGACTGGGAAAGTATTCACAGGAAAAATCTACGGCAGGGCCAACAAAAGTAGCACTGGCTCCGAAAGGACTAGTGAGTTTTCTTCTTCTTTCTGTGTTTTCCAACTTGCTCGTGGTTGATACGCGTTACTTTCCAAACAACAACGGCAAACGCCTTCAGCCAAGAAAACGAGGAAGAATTACAAACCTGATTTTATGTTTCTAGGGTTACAAGGAGAAGAATAAATTCATAGCGGCTCAAGGTAAGCTTCTTGCTGTTCTTTTCAAAACGGGATTTTGGTAACATGACGTGGGAGGCTACCTGGTCCTTATCTGCTGCCAGGAATCCCGAGGCTTCCCCAGGGCTTCCTGTGCCGCCCCGTCTGTGTTGCCTGTTTGCAGTCTGTCCAAGCTGTCCCTGAGCAGGGGCCACACAGGGGTGTCCCGAATCTCACAGAGCCTTGCGATTCGAGGCTGGCGCTCCATTGACCCCGAGTGTCAGCATGTCCTGGGAGCTGCTCAGACGTGCTACGTTCACACCTGCCTCTCAGCAAGCCTTCTCGGGTCATTCTGTGCCTTCGTTCGCAAAGCTCTGCCCCACGAGATGATGAAGCGTGTTGTACAAACAGAGCTTCAAAAGAACAGACGAGTTGGAGCCCCAGAGAGCCCAGGTCCCCCTTCCGCGGTCGGGCAGCCAGGGGAGGGTGTCATCATTTATAACTGTAGGTGTAGCCGGCACGTTGGACGTACATCCACGCAAAGCATGCGTGTAGACAGACAGACAGACAGACACATGCCTGTTCCCTCACATGCATGGTGCAAAGACAGGGCACCCAGTAGGTTAACGGTTATCATTTGAACGTGCTGATTCTTTCATTAGACAACCCTGAACCTCTCTCAGCTGGCCGAGCTCGGGTGTGGCTCCCAGTTGTGGTTGTTTCCAGGCGGGTGGGGAAGGGAGGGAGTCGCTTATCAGATCAAGGCCTTAAGCCCCAGGGCGCCTCGCGCACGCCCTTCGGCTCGCACACGATCCACTTTGCACGGACGAGGTCTGACCTACCATCCGTCAGCCCAGAGGTGGCTGGGGACGTGGAGCCCACAGCGACTTTCGTGGGCTTCCTCCCTCGCAGGCGACAGTCTTTCCGACAACGGGTCCCCAAATTCAGCGCACGTCGGAATCACTTGAGAGCTTATTAAAAATGTACATTTCTTAGGAAATAGGGAAGCACACAGACGCATACACCCAGAGTGCAGCGTCAGAGAACCCGACAGACATCAGCTGACACAGATAGAGGAGTCTCTCTCCCGTAAGAAGGGGGGGCGGCCCGGGGCCCAGGCAGTGGCTCAAAGGAGAGGGACCTCTTGATCTTCCTGCTCCTGCCCTCCGTGGCATGTCACTGTCTGCCTCAGGGTCACAAAATGGCTGCGTCTCCAGGCACTGTGTCTGCATTCAGGCAGGAAGGAGGGCAAAGGGCAGAGGACTTTCTTCTGGGGACGCTTTGTCTTTGGTTCAGACCGCTCCCCAGGAACCTCAGCCCACACCCCGCTGGACGGCACTGAATCATCGCCAGCTGCGAGGGCAGCTGAGAGCTGAGGGAAGGGGGTTAGACGTGGAGGGTGAGTGGGTCGGCCCGCAGCCCGTCTGCGTCTCTGTCTGCGTCTGTCTGTCGCGCACACACAGACCCTCGTGCAGTTCTGGAGCGGGTGCTGGCGTGCCGAGGCTTTGAGGGGCCCCCTGAGCGGCCGCACGGCACTCTGGACAGGCAGGCTCAGACCCCAGCCTCATCTGAATACCCGTGATTGCCTGTGAATGGGGTCACCCCCTGGACGCTGCTGTGTGCCTCCCCAAGGACATCCCAGCCCCAGGGGGTGGCCAGGGGTGTGGGCGGTGGGGCGGGGAGGCCGCACCCCTTCCCGGTGGGCCAGCCGGCCCTTCTGTGCCTGGGAGGAGCCCGGTCCCAGGGCCCCAAGGCCAGGGTGACAGGGGCCAGAGACCCTCTTCGGGTCTGACTTTGGGCTCCTCCTCTGCATACAGGCCCTAAACAGGAGACAGTTAATGACTTCTGGAGAATGATCTGGGAACAGAAGTCTGCAACCATTGTCATGTTGACGAACCTGAAAGAAAGGAAGGAGGTGAGCCCAGCCTTCTGACTCACAGACTCTACTCTTTAAGCTTCTGGGGCTTGGCTGGGGGTGTGCTCACCACATCCTTTTCCTATCCCTCTCCCTTCTTATCGCTGCAGAAGAAGACAAAAAAAACCAAAAACACGAGGGGCTCACAGCATTTTTATCGCGAAACAAATATTCTGTGTTCCAAGCATCTCACTGCTCTAGACGGCGACACGCAAATGTCACAGGGTTAGTTCTTTCTTCAGCCGTAGAGCCCCCCACCCCAGCCCCAGCCTGGCTGCTCTCCAGTGCTGGGCATGTGCGGCTCAACACTCAGAGGCTCAGCGTGCTGGGCATACGCTACGGTGGGCCTCTGCCCACCAATAAAAGTGGATTTCCTGCTTATTATCCAGACTAGAGAACTGTATTTGAAACACAAGGTGTATTGAAGGAATGTGGATTTAATTAGCTACTTCTAATTTAAAACGTAATGCACGGACACCAGAGGAACTTGAAGCCTCTATAAAAGAAGGTCAAGCGGATCCACGTCCTAAGGGGACAGATACTCCTCCAGGTCTGCTCTGCGGGACAGGCGGCCGCAGGGGAGTGTGCAGGGGGCAGCACACAAACCCCGCCTCCTGTGATTTAAGTGCCGCTGGGAGGGGCAGGCGCCAAACAGAAAGCAAATAAACATAAACTGTGTCAGGAGGTGACATAAAAAATAACGGAGAGTAAAGGGCTGATGAGCAGGGAGGGCCAAGTGAGCCAGGCAGACAAGGACTTAGGGGCCTGGGCCTGGGGCACTGGGGGGGGCGGGGCTTCAGGGGCTGGGGCTGGGGCACTGGAAGGGGGCGGGGCATCTGGGGCACTGGGAAGGGGTGGGACATCTGGGGCTGGGGCACTGGGGGGGCGGGGCTTCAGGGGCTGAGGCTGGGGCACTGGGGAAGGGGGTGGGGCACGTGGAGCCATTCTCCTGCCTTCCAGCCATTGACTTTTTACCTAAGGGGCACAGACCCGTACTACATAAGGCAGAGCAAGGTGTGATGGTGGTTTCTAGAGCAGGAAGGAGGGGACCCCAGAGGGAGGAGCAGTCCCCCTTGGGTGTAGGTCAGGGTGGGGGCAGGAGTGGCACCATGTCTGAAAGGCTGGAGGGAACTTGACCGAATCCAGCCCGAGAGAGGCTCCGGGGGCAGGGTGAGGTGATCATAAAGACAGGAGTACCCGGCTGGGCTCGCACCTCGAGTGCCCCCAGAACCGCTGGCAATGGGTCAGGGAACTGGGCTGGGGTCTCGGGCTGGGGTCTCCGGTGACAGACTGAGGCAGGCGGCCCGGGGAGGGTTTCTCTGCCAAAAGCAGGGCCTGGGTTTTCAGAAGTGAGTTTTCACCAGCACGAAAGAATCGCAGGCTAGAAGGAGGCTTGCCAGACAGGGGGACGCTGTTCTAGCATGTTCCAGCTTGAGGCCCAGAACAAGGGGGGGCTGGCCGGGGGCGAGGAAGGCTCTGTGTGGTGGGAGACGTCTGTCCTCCTGGTCCCTGTCTGGGCCTGCCGTGTCCCCACGCGGTGCTGGTCTCCACCCTGGCCCTGTCTTCGCACACTGGCAGGGGACCCCCAGGCAGCTGGGCTCAGGGGAAGGGGAAGGGGAAGGGCTGCCCCCCTCCCCCCTCCCAGGATGGAAGTAGGCGGCCTGCTGGGGCAGCTCAGCTGAGGCCCTAGGCAGACACTGGCCCTCAGGCAGAGTCCTCCCCTCCCCCCCGTGCCACCATCACTGGTTTGTTTTATGTCTTCCAAAAAGCACAGGAAAAAGCCTCCAGTCCCTGTTTCCGGTTGAGTAGGATAGAGTTTTTGTTTTGTTACCAGGCCGGTTGGGACAGAGCTGGAGAGGGTCACTCTCATGGGGCGAATCCTGTCCTGTGGATGGAAAGAGTGACAGGAGACGGGGGGTTCCAGGCAGGAGCCCTGAGCCCTTCCCACACTCTCAGCAGATGCCTTGGCAGGACCCGGCCCCCAAAGCTTCGCGGGGAGCCCCGGGTCCCCTGGGACCCGTGGCTCCACTGCTGCCACTTGCAAGGGGGTGGGGGAGGGGGCTTGTTTACACACATGCGACCCAGGGAGACTCAGACACCCTCCCCCTCTGCACCCCCCCCCCCCCCGCCGTCATGTTACTCGACATTTATCTCCGATCTTTCTCTGAAGCCTCCTACTGGATTTTTCCATTTTTGTGACTCAGAGCCGGCCTCTTCTGTATCTTGATTTTGACCATTTCAGATGAGACCATTTCTCAGTAGAGTTCCCTTTTCTTAAGTGCTTACCCTTCTCTTATTGTCTCCCGGCTTCAACATCTTGGCTGAACGTTGTGAAATGCGGTTGCTGTGACATCTCGTGATCTGACTGGAGGGAGGGCACCTTGGGCGTCGGGTGAGACCAGAGGTCAGAGGGTGGAGAAGCGTCCACACCCACAGCCCTGTGGGGGCCTCGGAACCAGCCCTCAGGCCCCGGGCCAGAGTCTTTCAAGGGGAGAATCTCAGGAGGTCCTGGAGGGTCCCCAGGAAGCCAGGACTGGCCTAGATTAGCACTTTTGGGTAACTGCTTCTCTTCAAGGCACCTCAGAGATGCCCTGCAGTAGGGAGGGGAAGTTGTCCTACAGTGTCGTAATATAAATGCTGGGCCTGGTAAGTGCCAGGCTGCCTTTTTTCATAAGACTGTTAATCCTCGTGACTTATTAGCTGTGCCACTCGTGGGCAGCTTCCAGAATAAACTGTCTGATGTTTATTTTTGAGAGAGAGAAAGAGATAGAGTGTGAGTGGGGGAGGGGCAGAGAGAGAGACACACACACAGAATCCGAAGCAGGCTCCAGGCTCCGAGCTGTCGGCCCAGAGCCCGACGCGAGGCTCGAACCCACGAACCGTGCGATCATGCCCTGAGCCGAGGTCGGATGTCTAATTGACTGAGCCACCCAGGCACCCTGTCTGTCCGACGTTTAGAAGGCTTCTTAAGCACATCTGGGCCCCCATAGGTGGGTCCTCACACACTCCTGCACCCCGTGTTCACGGAAGACTGTTGCCCTTTAGGCCTCTTGCGCTCTGTCCCCGGATGGAGCCATTTGTAGCTCCGAGGGAGGGAAGGTAAAGAGGTGGGGCTCTGTGTGGCAGGGTGCCCGTCCTCTGCAGATTTCTGCATCTGCCTTGTCCTAGGCGGAGATAAGTGGGGAGCGTTAAACTGACCCCTCTTCCGCGGTGGGCTGGCCAGCTTTGTCCTCCGTGAGCCGAAGGACACCCTGCTGGGTCCAGTGGGAAGCGTTTGGGGACACGCCGTCCTCCCGTGAGGCCCAGCCTCTGTTGGTGTCGAAAGCAGACAGGGGCCCAGGTATAGGCTCAGGGCTGTTTTGTGGCCTCAGTCTCCCAGCTTCCACACCTCCTAGTGCTCTTTCCCAGCTCCGGAACTGTCCGAGGGAACCTGGTGTGTGTGAGGAGGCCCTGTGTTGATGCGGGGGTGGGGGGATGAGGGCGCTGACGTGTCTGAAGGGCACACACAGACTTATTAACTGTTTCTTAAAGTTTATTTCTTTATTTTGACAGCGAGAGAGAGAGAGTGCATGTGCATGAGCAGGGGAGGGGCAGAGAGAGAGAGAGA